CGGCGGCGCGGCTGCCTCTCCAGCGCCCAAACCGTTGTTTGGTTTTTTTCCGCCTAAAACAGGTCCGTCCCGGAGAGCGGGACCTCCAGACGGTGGTTTCACGCTTAAAATCGCCGGGGATACCCCTGCTCCTCATGTGCACCAGCATAACCGTCCGGATTTTGCCCAAAAGCTGAATCAGCGCGATGAGACGGGCGCTGCCGCGAAGATGCTCGCCCGGCGCTACCCGAGAGAAACCGATGTGTTCCCGAAGTGAAGAACCGCCAGCCTAACCCCACCTGCGTTTGACCACTAGTTATGTGCAGGCAATCAGAAAACTGGCACTGTTTAAAGCGCAAAGCACTCCAGATTTACTTGGTTTGACAGTAATTTAAGGGAGGTTAAGTATCCCTTCCTTACTCGTTGCTTAAAAGAAAGCTCTCAAGTGCTTTAAATCCCTTTGAAAGCCTCCAATCTCTGTGTGGGCTGCCTTCACTGTGTAAAGTAAAATTCTGAAAGTTCCAAAGAACTGTAATTGAAATTGATGTCAAACTGTTGCATTGATAAAGGCTTTGCACTTAGAGTAATATAAAAACCGCCTAATGTTTAAAAAAGCTGCTCTTAGAACGTTGTCCCTGTCAGCTACCGCCACTATTTTGAAGGTGTGAGAGGAAGCAGCATTGGCTGCAGGCATAACCAAGAGGCCAGGCTCAACAGACAATTCCTGCTTGGTTTTTGCTAATGTCATGATTATTTTTAACCAGACTTTTCTGGTTCAAAACATGAGAAACTCTGATCTATCTCTGAATACCATCTTGGAGTGTTTTACAGTCCATTTAAACAACTTTGGTTAAAATTGCCTTTTAACTGTACTGTTTATCTCTACTTTTAAGTATAGTTCTCCTCATGAGACAATTTGCCTTAAGCTCCAGAAACCTTAAGTCTAAATGAAATAGACACCACAATACAGAAACCTTCCAGAGGGAAGTATGGGATAGATCCTTTGGACCCAACACTTTTCCCAATTCACAACCCACCACAGAGATGCTAAAATGAATACCTACAAGCTGTGAACCACTGTTCACTTCAGTAGATTTATCCCCTTAATCATACTAAAGAATGACTTGGTATGCCCATGACAAATGGATTAGCTAAACTCTACCATCTCCACAGCCAACTCTCCAATAATGAGTACAGTAAAGGAAGAAGATATGCTCAGGACTTTGGGATATGGCAAAACCACGCATCTATCTTCACTTCAAGGAATTATGATGAACAAACTAACTAGAAATGTTTTCATCCTATTTCTGGAAGCATTCAATTACAACAGCTTTAATTTGCCTGACCAAATCTTCACTGTAAGACAGTGAGAAAGCCTGCGATAGATGCACAGGACAATAATTCCAGAAGTCTGGATTCTGTTTCTTCCCATTTCACAGACTGTGCAAAGCATTTTCTGTAAAAAATGCCAGCTCCTCCACTGCAATTGTGTGGAAGACCTTTGTTTCCCCATCTGAAACGATGGTGATGTGGGACTTCGGACTCAAATCCTGCAGTGACATACAGCAAGCATTCACACAGAGTCCACTCAAGTTTACGGGACTCAAATGCCAGTTTGTATTCTCAGATCTACTGACATTCTGCTTGACTGAATCCAAATTGTTTCTACCCTCTTGACTTTTCTCAACAGCAGCAGAGAGGAACATCAGCTACACTTACATGGTATACTAGAGAATTGTTAAGCTATACTCCTTGACATTGCTCCCGGCAGAATGATTAAAATGGGATTCTCAGAAATTCTCAAATATAGAGTAGACCAATTACAAGGAAGTCAGATCAGGTTGTGCTCCACAAAGAACCAAAGATTTCATCCTTAATTCTATTTTAAGTTTTTATGTAAGAGTCAGATAAACTACAGTGAAATTTGTGTGGTACCGAGCCACCTAGTGGTTACTTTCAAAAAATAAAGGGCTCTTGCTTTCGGAAATGGAGCTCAACACGTTGGATTTATGTAGAACTCTGATAACATAAATGATACAACAGTAGAAAGGAATACATCTGCACCACTTCCAGTTTGCTCTGTGTCCAGAATACAGAAACTGGACATCCTCCAAAGACAACCAACCCTCCTGGTTTATCCATGTCCTGCCAGTGACTTTTTACCAACAAGTCTTTTCATGACGTACAATCAATGCTTTTGCTAAATTGTCAGTCATACTCGTGGAACAAGAGTTTCATTCTAAGGGGTGCACTGAAGATAGGGCAAGCAACAGAAAAGGAGAGACTGAAGAATATACTTATCATTATCATAGAAATGTGGTTTGCAAGTCAGTAGACCTGCCATATATCACCGAGCCCATTCCCTGCTTTCCCACAAAACCACATCATAGCCATAATAAACTGTAACTTACAACTAGTTTAATTTCCTGGTTGGAACTCCTATGGAAACATAAGCTGGGACCTAAGTCTTTGCACTGTTCTTTTAATTATAGGGTTTTACAACAAAATAAAAACCAAGAAACTGAGCTCTCGAAATCTAGTGCTTTTATTGAAATTTTACATTGACATACAAAATACAGTGTTTTAACAAGATGCTTACAAAAATGAACAGAGACACTCTAGCAAGTGCATAAGAAATATCAACACAAATTTGCATTGATGCTACAGGTTCCAAGGGAATCCTGTCCAACTGTTTCAAACAGGAACTCCTTAACAGCCTTCTCAGTAGTCTGTCTTCATACGAGTTACTGGTCGTTGTCCTTGTTGGTTTTTGTTTGTTTGTTTGTTTTAAACAGTTGGAGAACTGTTACATAAGAACAGAAATATAACTACCTATGAAGTCCCTGTTGGATTAAAGCACAACTATGTTGTAGTTTTCACCAGAGACTGCAAAAAGGTAGTTCTTTGAATAGGCATCCTATTTGAGGACAATGATGTTAGGTTAAATATAAGCCAAAGTCCCATTCATCAGTATTGCAGATGCTGTCAAAATACACTTCTTTTTGCAATTCTCTCCATTTCAGTATTTGCTCTGCCAGCTCCTCCAACTCCATCACAAGCACCTCCGTTTTTGTCAAAGCAGTGCCCTGAGGCAGAAAAGAGTTAGATTTCATCTCTATACATCCTGTCAATCTAGCAAGACATAACAACCAAACAGCATTGAATTCTTAATGCTGAAGGAGATGGAAGGCTCAGTTCTTCTGCTACTCACCATATCCTTCATGATGTTCGGTATCTCAGGGATGCTTCTTACGGCCTGCAAATGGCTTTCAAGCTTCTCAATGAAAGTCACAGCCTCAGTCAACAACTCTACTAGGTACCTGCAATCAAGAATGAGCCCCCTACTCAAAAGTTGTGCAAAACAATGAGGATTTAATACTTCCAAGCTCTTATTTTTTTCCTCTGTGGGTTTTCTTAGTCCTCTTCTCCAGTTTTATGCAAGTTCCAAACCATCTAATTAATTTCTCTGCAATTACACTTCTTTTATGACTCTCAGCAACAAGCAGGGCAAGAATTGAAGGAGTGAATATGCACTTCTTCAGTAACTGGACTAGATTATTATACCATGAGAAGCAGCACTGTATTTTTAAAACGAGTACTATGCATGTCTGTGAATCATTCACACACTTATTCTGAGCAAGTCACAGTGGAAGGAAGACACCAAATGCTGAAGAAGCAATTCCTACCTATGTGGAAGCATAACGAATCAAGCAATTAACACATCTGTTTATAAAAATACATCACAAATTGTTGTGTAATCTTCAGAAGACAAGACCAATAACCTAAGCAAATATTCATAAAAATACATATCACTACCTTTCTATGAATTTAGCAATTTGAGCTGAGTTTCTGCTGCCGTTTTTTATTTCTGTTCTTCTCAATGGAAAAGTGAATGAAAGCATGTGACTTTTACTGCCTATTAGTTCAAATTAATTTTGGACTCATGCAAGCAAAGAACAATTATTTTCTATATGCCTACTTGTGAAAAGTAGCCTCAATAGGCAGGCTGTCTTGAGATCTGGGCTTTATCAACCTCTTCCTAAGAGCCCTCTTCTCTTTCAGTATGGCTTCCAAGTGTCTGTTCATATCTTGCAAAATCTCGCATTTTTTGCCTATAAAATAAAATTGCAAAGTTGAAAATATTGTCCTGCTAAAACAAGGGCAAAACTTCTACTGGAGAAAGACAGAAAGAAAAAGTCTGATCTACTGCACTGGACGGTTTGCACTCAAGAAAGTATCATTAATCAGAATGACTTCTGTTGGTGTGTAAAGGACTTAGTATCAGCATGCACCTCAAAGTCATAATACCTACTTTTTAAAGATACAGCTTGGTTAATTGTTTTACATTATCTACAGTTTTAAGTAAACCACCTTTGAGATGGAACCAACTTCTTAAACTATAACATAGCATTGAAGTATTACAGCATACTTCACTAGCCTAACACAGTAGTAGCAAGTGAGAATGTTTTAAGTATCCTTCAAATCATAGTGGGAAAAGAGTGAAATAATAAAGAAATGAATACATATGCTCCCAAAATACTGCAATGAAAATCCAGGTAGTATTAGGGGCCTACAGATGCAGCAGAAATGCATTGAGTTACTGGAAAAGCAGCGAAGTAGCACACAGGCCAAGGGAAGCAAGTCAGGTTACTGATGATCTCTGAACTCCTGATGCTCCGCTGACCCGGGGGGCTAACCACACAGACACACACAGCTGTTTTGGAGAATGAGTTACGCACAGAGCTTCTACTGACACAGCAGAAGGTGCAAATTCAAACAGTATGGAAGCATTCTTTAGAGGCTAATAAAACACCTGCCACCTCTAACAAGCTCTCCAGTGGGGAAAGCTGCAGTAACTTCCAGAAGTGTCATGTCCTCAGATGAAACATGAACCTGCTGATGAAGTCATTTAATACTTCTGGTTTTTCTAAGGTACAACTGCACTTACCTAAGTAGAAAGGGTGAGCAATGTCTGCTGTCTCCTTCTCCAAATGCAGAATTTCAGCTTTCAGTTTCTTCTACAACAATAACAACATCAAATGAAAATGCATTTTTGACATACTTATCCAGACATTGTTGACTTTCTTGGGGCGGGGGAGGAAGTAGAAAGGGAGAAAAGCGTGAACATGGGGGAAAGCGCGTGTGTGAAAGAGTGAGCATTTGCATGAGAGCGGTGTCCCTGCTCACTGCAGGGGGGTTGGACTAGATGACTCTAGGGGTCCCTTCCAACCCAAAACATTCTATGATTCTGGAGTATTCCTACTACTAAGTGGGGCTTTTTGGTCAATAGGAAAAGACTTAAAAAAACCCCCAAACAACCCACTAAACAATTTGGCAATTTATTGGAAATTTGTGCTGGAAAAGACAGATCCTGCAATTCATTCCTAAACCACAGAAACTTACATCTACAAAGCAGTTTCATAGACTATATTCTACTAAAGAACCTCTCACAGACCCAAGTTTCCTCCTTCTCGCAAAGACTGGTTTGTGTTGGAGTTGTTTGTTTTTAGCTGTGGGAGAAGCTCTCTCAGGTGAAGATGAGGAACTCCTAGAGAGAGTCCAGAGGAGGGCAACAAAGATGATTAGGGGACTGGAGCATCTCCCCTATGAGGAAAGGCTGAGAGAGTTGGGCTTGTTCAGCCTGAAGAAGAGAAGACTGAGAGGGGATCTCATCAACACATACAAATATCTTAGGGGGATGACACGAGGACGGAGCCAGACTCTTCTCAGAGGTGCTCAGCGACAGGACAAGGGGCAATGGGTACAAACTGAAACATAAGAGGTTTCAGTTGAATATGTGGAAGAACTTCTTTACTTTGAGGGTGACAGAGCACTGGAATAGGCTGCCCAGAGGGGTTGTGGAGTCGTCTTCTCTGGAGATATTCAAAGCCCCCCTGGACGATGTCCTGTGCAACCTGCTCTAGGAGAACCTGCTTTAGCAGGAGGGTTGAACTGGATGATTTCACGAGGTCCCTTCCAACCCTTGCTATGCTGTGAAACTCCTAGCATTAATTCCTTCCAAGACAAACCAGCACAAGAGCAGCAGATACCTTCCTGTGGCTGAAAGACTTGTGGCCATTTTGGCTAGACAAGAGAAGACTGAGGAAGTATAGAAGAGGATGACGTATCAGTCTCTCAGGACGCACAGAGAACTGTTGCTTTTCTTGATCACTTAGGAAAGGACCTGCTTCACTCACAGCATATTGAACATTTGTCAGAGAGAGCACTTTATATGTGAAACCTTCCAGCAAAGGAGGCCAAGTAGCCACTTTCCTAGGAGCTGGAAACTGTTTGTTCCTTCTGCCCGTCAATATAGGGTGGCGCCAGCTGTTAAACTCATTCTCCAAAAAAGTAAACAGTGAATTTGTTACACCACCGTGCAGTAAGCCTCTGTAGCTGCTGGAGCCCACACTGTGTAATTTAATAAACAGTTTTTGTACCAGCAAGCAAATGCTCAGAAAACATCATCATAAAATCCAAGCCAACAGCCAATTCAGGCAGTAAGAAATGACTGAGGTTACCTCTTGCTAACCAACAAAATGGCCTAGTTGCCTATACACAAACACATTCTTGTGAACTGAAGGCAACTACAAGTTCGTATTTGTTCTTCAGTTTCCTCAGAAAACTTCATGTAACATTTCAGTCAAAGGCGCAGGCTGCTGCATCTTGCCAGTTAGACCGAAAACTTCTATTTCACAATTTTGTTCTTTTCTTTATGACAACTCAGTCCACTGGGGAAAAAGTGCCAACTGTTAAGCAGCTGAACTGTTAAAAAAACCCTCAAAACACGAAATAATAGCACATGGGAGTCCACTACCTCATTAGGTGCCAGGTATTATCTCTATATATTGAAGCATTGAGTGTACACTGACAACAGTAAAGGCTGTACCTCATTGATTTCAGCTTGAATGTTTGCCATTTTTTCCATCTCTGAGAATTTCATAAAGCACGGGTCTTTTCTACAGGTTAAATCCAGTGTCTCCTGTGAAAGGAAAACAACAGGAGAATATGCAGTCAGCAGCAGGAACGTATCAGGCAAATTCTCAAGATTGGCTTTTAATAGTCTAAAGTCACCGTTATTCTCTTACACTATGCAATACAGTAAATTTCATCCGAACAACTCATAAAATACATGCATTATTTGGGGAAAATGAACACGAGTCAAAATAAAACTTCATAAAAGGCAGTATGAGAGCACTCTCAACGACACTGGCTGGCATGCTACTGGAACGCACTGGAGGGCATCAAAAAGGACTCATGTCTGAGCTCCAGAAAATACACACAACAGAAGGGATGGTTATTCCTAATGAGGAAAGCTGCCACCAGCCAAAACCCCAAGAGATCCCACAATAAAAGGGAAAATTTCTCTGCCTTTCAAATTAAAAAGCATTTATGCAAACAGTAACACAGTTTAGAATCATAGAATCATTTAGGTTGGAAAAGACCTTTAGGACCATCAAGTCCAACCATTAACCTAACACTGCCATCCCACCACTAAACCATGTCCCTAAGCACCACATCTACACCTCTTCTAAATACCTCCAGGGATGGGGACTCAACCCCTTCCCTGGGCAGCCCATTCCAATGCTTGACAACCCTTTCGGTGAAACATTTTTCCCAATGTCCAATCTAAACCTGCCCTGGGGCAACTTCAGGCCATTTCCCCTCCTCCTATTCCCCATTATCAGGCAGAAGAGGCCGACCCCCACCTCACTACACCCTCCTGTCAGGCAGTTGCAGAGGGCTATCAGGTCTCCCCTCAGCCTCCTCTTCTCCAGGCTAAACAACCCCGGTTCTCTCAGACGCTCCTCATAAGATTTTGTGCTGATCGCATGAATATCTAGGTAGTTAATACAGCAAGGGAAGTTTTTCTTTTTTCAAAGGGGGGAAAGAAGCTCTTGCTACATGGTGTTGGGTGAAAATACAGGATCTCCTTGAACAATTCACTTGGAAGAAATTTTGAGTTCAAGTGAAGAATGCTTATTTTCAGTTACTCCAGAGGAGATTTGAAATTACTTTATTAAAGTAAGTGGATTTAGTTTTGTGTTACCTTGGGTTAAGTGCTAGGAATTTAGCCACACTGCACCAGTATGCATATTTCCCTACTAAAAAGGCAGGATAGCATAAGTTATTTTCTAATGGTAAAGAAGGAGGCATTAACGCCGTATTTGAAGTGGAAGTTTTTGCCCCTGTGTCATGCAACTGCCAGGGAAATGTCGCAAAGGATGAGCAAAGGACTGCAGCCTGCCTACCTCGGGCAGTAATTACTTTCCTGGCTTGTAGTAGTTTGCTTGTGGTGTATTTCATTTAAAAGAAGGTCTTTTCCATATAAATTTGGAAAAAAAGAGTATATATATTACATATATACATATACATACATATATGCATGTGTCTATATTCTGGTAATGAGAAAAAGCAGTGTAGGAGATATGCAGCATCAATGGCATGCCTTCAGTAAGGTCAAGAAGGTCCTTTTCTGCCAGGCAGCTTTCCAGACACTCATCCCCTAACCTGTAGCGCTGCATGGGGTTGTTGTGACCCAAGTGCAGGACTCAGCACTTGGCCTTGTTAAACCTCATACAGCTGGCCTCGGCCCACCGATCCAGCCTGTCCAGATTCCCTGCAGAGCCCCCAGAGGACCCCTCGAGCAGACTGACACTCCTGCCCAATTTGATGTCATCTGCAAACTCACTGAGGGTGCACTCAACCGCCTCATCCAGATCACCGATGAAGATGTTAAACAGCACTGGGCCCAACGCCGCGCCCCGGGGACGCCGCTTGTTGCACACTTGCATTTGAAGCCCCGCGGCCGGCACCGCAGCGGG